GCGCGATTTGGTCTACTGAGGAAAAAGTTATGAGCGGAAAAGCGCCAAAGCATTTCACCGAAGACTTTTGAGCGCTACTGTAGTTAAGCTACCAGGTGATAGAGTGATGGTTTTGGATTGGGCTAATGTATTCACCCTGTTCATGACGATCCACCAGGCATGGATCATTGCAAGGGGGGCTCTTTGGTACTTTCCTACTACCGCTATCCAGTCTTACCTATCTCGTGGAACTTCCAGAAGGAAAAAAAGAGAAATGGACTACATTTTTTCCCAAACAGGTCTGATCCCTGCTTGTGAGGCCTGTTATCCGGTGGTAAAAGGCTCCCTAACCCCTTTCCAGTTAACGCCCTCCTTCCCACTCACGCAAACACGGCGGAATCTTCAATACAGTGACAGATTACGAAGTGATTCGATAAACATACGTGGAAAGTATGTATGACATGATGTTCGACGAAGAGAGACACCGGTGTTTCAATTAGAGCCATGATGATGTATTGTGTTGGGGAAAGTTTTCCAAGCATCGCTCCCATACTGATCAGTATTATGGCAGCCGTGAAATCACCGGAGAGCAGTCTGGAATAAAGGCTCATGTTTGAAAGAATGCAAAAGTTGTTTGTGATTTTCGGAATTTACGTTTTCTTATATAACCCTTAAACACTGCCAACTTATGGTGGCAGAGAAGAAAGCCGCGACTACGTTCATGTTTCCAATAGAGCTACTTACCGGCCTAACAGAGGGTCGACTCGTTTGGTGAAAGCAGAACTAGCGTTAACCTTTGTATTGATCAATAGTGTGGCCTCTAGGAGTAGGAAAAAGATTGGATCAGGACGCGGTCTTCAGCCCGTAGTCCAGCAATTTCTTGCTCAGCTTAGAATTCAAAGGACTCCCTAATCATATTTGAATGAAGTGGGTTCAAAGTGCTTCTGAGAGTAGAAAGAGTGGCACAACTCGACAGACTTCCTTCAAAGACATCAGGAGGCCTTCATCAATCCATACAGTGCGTAATTCCAGTAAAAAAAAACTCACTCGGCTACTCCAACACTGAATTTTCCTTCCTTTGCGAATTCCTCGCTCAAAAAGCCGTTAACGATTATACTCCACTCGATGGTGAAAGAGGCTAGAAGCAGGTTCACTGATACAGCTGAGAAACCGTAGCGCTGAAAGGAGGCGTATTCTATGTAACCGATTGGAAATTCGTGAGCCAAAGACAAAAAAAATAATTAATCCAGCCCGTACCTTCAAGAAAGTCATCAAGAAACCGAAGCCAATGAAGATCATCACGTGAGTGTCTTGGAACACTGAAATTTTCATATTTTTCCACCAAGTATGATATACTAACTGTATTGACTCC